CTGTCTGCAGAAAGAGGCACTCTTCCCTCAACTCAAATATTTGACTAGTTTTCATAATCACTCGACACTAGGGCAATCATCTATTTAATTCTAGCTAGATATTGTCATCGCTGGAAGTGATGGCGCCGAGAAATTCAAATTTAAAAGCAAGTAGGAGGTGCAACGATGTATAATGTTGGTGTAAAGTCATAAATGCATTTTTTTTCTTTACACTACGCATTTTCGATGTTGCAATCCGGTATCATTATTTTACGTGTCATATTTCGAACGACGGTATCGAAAGCTACCCGAGGACATTGCTAAGGCTCTAAGGCTTAAACATGCATGGCTCAATCCAAGCAAGAGACGTAGTTCGCGTTTGATGCACTGCAGGCGCTTAGGCACCATGGAGACGCGGCACCACCTGTTTAAATAGCCCCCTTTAACGTTTAGTAGCAATCAGAAGATGCAACAAAGCAGCTGGTGTAAAGTCAGAAATGCATTTTTCTTTCATTTCTACATTACGTATTTTCGCCGTCGCAATCCGGTATCGTCATTTTTAATATCATAAAAGCATTTTAGCTGTTTTCTTTTCAAACTCTAACTGTAAAATCCATTGACATTTTTTGTGACCATTGCTCATCATGAGGTTGTCAGGCTACAGCAGTTGTGGAAGGCATACTCCTTCCTCAGAGCTCTAGTTTCTACTTTTACACACAATCGAGAGATCCGCGAATGGTAAGAACCATCTCCGAACCTCTAATGCAATCAGGAGTAATCAAATACTGCAAATATTCAAAATAAACTGATTAGAGAAACTTCAGTCCCCCAAAGGTACATGGCATTTGGTTACGTAGTACTGCATGCCCTTATTTCTTATATCATGTACGTTCTGTAACCTCGTGTACATAGCATGCGTATATCTATGAACTTAACGCGGAAGTGTATCAATGATCGATAATGCTGAATACCGACATTATTATTGGGTGGATTTTCAATACAATCTTTGTTTTGTGCGTTATTCCAGAACATCTCTCGTACTGAACCAACTTTACACTATTACAGATCCAGCAGAAAAGGCACAAAACGCTATACATTTTGCTACAGTAAAACTTCTGCATTAGTGCATAAACCGAGTCACTCTCGAGGCTAGTTGTTCTTTAAACGTTACGTGCTTGCCGTAGAAGAACGAAGTCCCGAAGTTCTTGTCAAGCCTATAAATAGTTAAGTTATTATTCCATTGTACAAATATAATGTCATTTACTAAGTGTACTGGATGGATCGTCTGAGAACGGTATCTGTCAAATGCTGGATTTCTTTTGATGCTGTTCATAAATGTAGAGAAACCGCTTATGGTATGACGTCTTTGCCGGAGCGTCCCATCGTTATGAGCCAATTGCGGTCTGACGATCGATTGCTGATCTGGCAGCACGCTATAAAACCAAATTCGACGAAAATGACTTTGTGAAAGTTGCCTAATTAAGCAGTCACATTTGCTTGAATGTCTCTTTACATTAAGTCCATAATTCATCAACGTACTATTATTATGTACGATTAACAAATTCAAACGTAAAATAGAGATGAAACAGTTTTATTAACAATAAAATTTGGATTTTGAAATTAAGTTAAACAAAAACGCCCCTCAAGATTACGCCAATAAAATTCCGTTATTGTGTCAGTACGTGAGCTTGAATCTTTTATTTATTCAGTCCGGATTATGTCACCGGTGTGTTGGTCACGAATCGTGTCCACTATTAAGAAACCCTTTCCATTTCTGTTTTACGTTTCGTCAAGAAAACAGTCTGTTAAGCAACGTCACAATTCACCAGGATTTTCTGAGAGCCATCATCGAACTGCTAAGTCATCAACTGCGTTTCATGAGTGCAAAAAAGTATTTGCGACTTCAATTATCTATTGTCAGAGGTAAGACTTTGCTATTTATTGTGAGATGACAGTTGCAACAGCTGGAAAGAGGTCCAATACCGCAGTCAGGAAGTTTTCAAACATCAACTGCAAGAGTAGATGGAAAGAGAACAGTGTAAAGTTAGAAACGAACGAATGAGTAATAGCACAAACAATAATCCGCGGTGTCACTGCAACAGTGAAGAAGCTAGGGTGCTTATAAGCGAAACACGTTGCAAGAAGAGCCGAACATCATCAGACAAGAGAGGCATTTGATTGGCTTCCAAGACGGAGCACACGGCTCGTTGAGAGATGTCCAGATCGACGATGGAGAGAGTTGCGGTTGGTGCCAATGTGGATAAAGTTTATGGCCGAGTCTTCAGGAGTCTTTCTTCTAGCGTTGGATCAAAATAGGCTGATGATAACGCATTGTGATTTACCGTACAAAACTATGACAGTGCATATGTTCATATATCATATACCAAAAAATATGGACAAACAGATTTTATTAGTTTGCACCAAAAGGGTTTATACAGGTAACATTGTTAATCATTTCGTTAAACTCATATCAGTACAGAAAGAGAAAGAAGATTTCATCAGGAGTTTTCATGAAGATCACATTTGTATCGTGCGTAACTATTCACACTGATACTTACATTCATCATTGTTATCTCCTTGATGCGAACTGCTGAAATGCAACTACCATTTATTTGCTCTAACAATAAACAGCTGACTTGATGCTATGTACTTACGCTCCATTGCCTTTTCATGCTTGCCTTTCCGATACAAAAACGGACTATACGCAGTGGGTAGAAATTACGGGCTACCAATCAGCATTACGTGGTGCGATGTCGTTTGAAACGCAACGGTCGCCAATCTTACTGTACTATTTCCATCCGCCGAAGTATCTGCTACCTCAAGGCCGTCCTCTAAGGTCAATTGGAGAGCCTGCCAACAGAAGCTTCTGGTCACAGAGCTCTTGGAGCGGCTGTAAGCATTCGCAATTGGGTCTTCTCATCGCCTCTGTAACATTTAGCCGAAAAATGTCACATGACTTGTGAACGAAACCGTTCACTCCAGCAGACCTTCGGTTTAACACAGGCTTTAAATTCGTCATTCATAAAGGTTATGGGTCATTGGTGAAGGCGCGATATTGATTGAAGCAATCTTTTCAACTCCGCTTATTGTGACCCTGATGATATTTTATATTAAATCAGTTTTTATTAATATCTTTTAACTCATTTTGAGCCACAGTGATGAAACAAGAAGGCGTCTTATTCACTAGACATTAAATTAGCACGACTTTGACTACGGAGCTGTCTTGATAAAATTTTGAAAGGAAGTCCTGATTTTTAGTTTCTGAGAATAGCTGTTCTGAGCCAATGTTTTTCGACTCCTTGTTTGAGAAGAAACAGTCAGTCGACTTGCTTGATGTGTTTTCTCCATTCTCGGAGTATAACTTGAGAGATCATTTGGCGGTATTTTGAAAATGAGTCACTTCTGAAAGATATATGGCTCTTGTAACTGAAAGTTCATATATCAATATCATCAGCCATTTTCGATTATTGCTGGATGAATGCGTCTTCAAGATTTTGCCATAAATTTCTGTTTTATACGATTCTCGTCCGTCTTGATAGAACGAGCTTCCTCACCTTATTTTCTCATTGTTCTGGACGCCATTTGTCACGAGCGTTTGCCTCTCTTAGTACCTCTAATATTTTCATGATCCAGCGATGGCCGTTTCGTCTTGCAACGTGTCCTGTCTGCCGTCCCAC